CTATTCCACATCTGCTGTGGCCTGCTAGATCAACGGCCCTGAATCCCATAGAGGTGACCTGTGTTGCATGAAGGTGGATTGTACGCCCGACGACCTGTGGTTTGTGTTCCTCTGTCCCCACCGTATGTCGGAGAGCGGTTGAATTGGGAACGTGAACATCGCAGTTGGATACCAGAGCAGTGAGGCCACGTACGTTGAACAGATGAGTCTCGATTTAACATCCATAACGATTCCCGAAGAGCAGTGATATGGCGAGAGCCAGTGGCACGCTATCGGGCACCTCGAAAGAGACCATTCCAGAAGTGGAGGCTTACTTATATGGGCTGGGATAGCAACGAATGGCCGCAACGACCACTACGCAATTCCTGGTGGTTCCGTCGCAGCCGTCCGATATCGTGACAAAATTTTATACCCTCTTGTGCAGCCTTTTATCCTGCAATGGTAATGACGCAATATTTATATACGATAACACTTGACCTTATAGAGCGTGGCTTATATAGCTCAAGGTGGTGCGGAGTTATTTGGCGAGTGAAACCATTCTACGTCTGTCGTAGCCTGCTAGATCACCAGATGTGAATCCCATACAGCATATACGGGACATATTGGGACTACGGATAGCAGGTCGCAGTCTGCCGCTGGAGACCTTCCACGAGTTCCGACATGCAGGAATAGCCATTACGCCACAACAAGCGATCAACAACACTATTGCCAACTTCTTACATGTGCGTTTACATTGCAAAGTGTTACAATGTGATGTTCGTAACACATTGCAAGGTGTGTTTGTATACTTTTGCTTTATTGTTTGCTATAGATTTGGTAATGTCATACCAACTTCTTGGATCAATTTTACGCATATCCTTTAAATAGTTTTTGCTTTATTAAGTGTTTTGCCTTTGTTGCTTATTTTTTTAGCAGGAATGTATATACCCACCCATATTACTAGGCTTAAAAGTCCTTACTTGGCCTTTTACTTTTGCAATCGTTGATCGTATTCATATACGTCCAGTTACAAAGTGTTTTAAATGACGAAAATAGTCATATTTGGGCAATGGCAAATTTAAAAAAAATTAAATTTTTGACAAATAAGGAAATCTAACTTTTAATGCAGTCTCAAGGTTCCTATACTTATATTTGGGAAAGTTTTATACTCATTATGAAAAAATTAAATAAACGAGAAGTTTGATTCCGTACAACAAAAATTAACTGAGATATTTAATTTCAAAATTTGCAATTCTTGATGTCATTTTCAACTTGCCTTGAGGAATGGGTTAATTAAGTTAAAATAATTCGAGGAAATAAGTTTAAACGAAGTACAGCAAAACATCTGTATAACTTAATATGTCGTACAAGGAAGTCATATAGTAGTCATATCAGATTTTTTTATAATCTCTATATTATTTCTTAAAAACTAGCCGCCTAAACGAGTTATCATAAAATGAAAAAAGTACTATATAATCATTTTAAGGTATGCAGCTAATGCCGTTTCATAAAAATATTTAATACTTTTCTACCATCTCAGGATTTAAAAACATTTTTATTTAAAATAGTTCAAATTTAAAAGTAGAAAAAGTATTTTTAAGAACTGCATTTATTGCTTTTCAGTCACTTAATTTGTTACTCAGTAATTAAACTAAAATTAAAATTTAAAATTAAATATCTTACGCTTTACTGAACAGCAGCATGCTGCTGCGTGGAGATAACAAGCATTCTATTTGAGGCAGTGGGAATACACTGCTTTCCAGTATCCATATTTGTGGATTAAAATTGAAAGATAAATATCGTACACTTTGCCAAATGCAATAGCCTGGCGCGCCAGAGATAAAAATGTTTTATTTTAGATAGTGTTTTCAATTTTTGATTTCAAATCGCGAGTTTGTTAAAGAAAAATTCGTTAAATATGTGCAAAATATAAAATAAATCAAAAAAAGGAAATTCGCCATAAAATATTCCCTTTTTGATATGCTTATATTCTGGTGGAAACGTGTATGTAAACGTGTTTTCTACGTTGTATGAAAAATTCGGTGGCTGTTAAGTGTCGTCGTTTTTTCACAGTGCGAGGAATATACATACATACTTACAAATTCATGATTTACTTCTTTAGCCATAACATTTGATGGCAACCATCTCAAACGAGATTCGGAGAAAAAGCGAGTTTCAAGACTAATAGTACCTAATAAAAAATAGTGCTAAAATTTAATCAAAAATTGAGAAAATAAACTGACATGTATTCGCGCTCTTTGAACAAGCAGTTTACATTAAATAAAAGCATGAAAGTAACAAGATATCCAATACTTTACTGGATATCGTTTAGCTAAATTACACTTTTAGCATATATTCAATTAATTTTTTCGTGGAAGAATTTTTCCATTTTGATTTTCAAAAAATATCATGTTTCTCTATTTTTTCAACTCATTCCATACATGTTTCTTCGGATTTTAAGTCCAAAGAATAGTGAAGAGTTTTGACAACTTCAAGTCATTTGTAGAATAACCACATGCGGAAACATTTAGGGTCGTAATGTGACCATAATTAAACGTCAAAGTATTTTGCATTTCAAGCATTCTCTGAGATGCTTCCAAGTTTTCATTAAGAATATTTATACTGATTCATATTATTTTCGATATAAACTTAATTGGCTATTCCAGAGACAGCTAAACATCCCCAAATCGTATGCCATCAATACGTGCTTAAGAGAGGCAACTGGATTTTCAGATTCATTTCTTTATTCAGTTTTCACCTCACAGTAGTTTGTCCATCGGTTCCAAATATATTAAATTTCTAAGACTATAACATTGTTCCAATTAGATAAATCTTTGCTTACCATGAATTTTTGTGAACGTCTTTTTATTTAATTTCTTGTTGTTGAAAAATTTCCTTCTTGCTGATCGCTCATTGTATCTGTGTGCCTTTAATGATTCTTCTAACAATTTCGGGGTTAAAGCTTATTGCTTCTAAATCTATCGCAAGTTTTACAACTCTAAATTTTAGATCTCATTTACCTAATCTTATTTATCTTAATATCTAACAGAATCAGGACGGATTTAGATTTGACGAGATGCTAAGTTATTTGAGATATGCGGCCCTGTATGAGGGATATGACTCATTTTTTTTATATGGGATATTTTTTTATACGGTACAAATTTTGGGGGTGGTGCAAGAAAGTGGGGACCCTAAGCTATAGCTTGTGCAGCTTATACGTAAATCCGGCAGAGCAGAATATTAGTTTTGTAAATGTTAGTATTTTTGCTAAACACAAGTAGTATTTCCAAATACAGACGATGGTTCTCGTGATGTATTTTCATTTAAAGCCAAAAATTGTGAAAAAAAAAATTCCAAAACATAAAATATTGCAGTGTCAGAAATATTTCGTACACTAAGAGTAAATTGTTTTATTACAAGGAATATTTGAATAATATTTTGCAACAATCAAGGCTTAAAATAGAGAAAATAATGATAAACTAGGAAAACGTCTGAAGTCTGCGTTTTAAGAACAAGATTTATGCATATAAATCTCAAACATGCATGTGTATAAAATATAGTAATAAAATATCTTTATATGCAAAATGAATAATTTGCTAAAATATTCAAAATTTTCTTATAAAATACCTCTAAATATTTCAGTCAGTCACCGATAAAAACATGTTTTCATTCCCCTCATAAAAAAGGGAATATTAACGATCGAACATCGTAAAATAGATATAATTTTCATATTTTTAAATATTATGAATATAGCCCCTTTATATAAACATGTTATTAATACATCTGCATAAATCAGTTGCTCTGAACACTTTTCTCCGCCATGCACTCTTTTCAAAGCACAGCTAGACTATCGACCCCCCCCCACCCCACCCGCCATTCCAAAATTCGAAAAATATATATGCATTTATTTATCTTTTATATATTTAACAAGAAAAATCTAGAGAATGTTGATAAATACCAAAAATTGAATAAAAGTTTTTTATATTTATAAAATAAAACAAAATACTTAACAGATAAATAAAAAGCTGACCTCCTTCCACCTTAAAACTATAAAGTCCCCTCCATTCTCCCTGGTATAAATTATTAAAATAACACCAAACCCAAATAACAATCAAAATGTGTTTAAAAGGGAAATCTAAGAAATTCGAATATGATCATCAATATTCCAATCACGAACAGAGTTCGCTTAACGTTCCTCCCTTCCGAACGATCATTTTATTCCGTTTCTGGCCATCCAACCAATAAATTAAAACTCGGGAAAAAAAAAAAAAAAAAAAAACGGATGGTATCTGATTATTCACCGACTATCGTATAAGCGACGAATTTTGCAGTAGAATGCGACAGTTGTCGGACCACGCATGTGCGTATTATCCACGTTTATCAATACACATGGATTTACGCGCTTTGTATTTAACAATCAATTCGGCTAAACATAAAGTTAATATAATTATAGTTCGGTTAATACAATTCTTTTTCTTCAGTGCATTTTCTTCTTTGATCTAAAATTTGCTTCATATACATTACTTCTTTTTGTTATTATTTATGAACATGAACCGGAAAGATAGTTAAAAAAAATGTTTCTCGCCAATTCGGCGACATTTCGTTAAAGGTATGCGGATAGTCAGTAAGCAGGTGACAGGTGACGGAGGACGGGGACGCCTGACGTATAACATAGGTAAACAGGCATATGTCCCACGTCCTCCACTATCTCGAAGAAGCAACTCGCTGGAGCCCCGTGAGGCTGCACCAGGAGTTTACATGGCCATACAGGGGCTAGATGTCGGGTAGTTTTTACATAGGACGTTGTTAATAACACAAAGTAATTTAGAAAGAATATAAAGGATAGCATTAAAACTCTAAAACACTCATATAAGCTAAAACACATAGATATACAAAATTAAACGTAAAAGCATAAAAACACACTCGTAATTACGTAACATAAAGACATAGAAACACACACGAAAATACATATCATGACACATAGAATACATATGGAACAACAAAAAATTGATCAAATATGGTACTCACCAGATGCGGGATGTGGTGAGTGAAAAGCAGAGCAAAGAGGCTAGGGCCACTGATGGCCACCTCAAGTCAGACGTGCCTTTGGCATTTTTTCCATATGGCCTCCGACTAGCTTGCCGGGATGGCCTGTGCAAGGCCCTTGTACTCCCGGTGCTACTTTGTGTATCCAAAGGACTGTTCATGCCCGTTGCTGATTGGAGTTCTGGAGAGGCACATTCCGGAAGCTGGAAAGAACCATTTGCACCTAGCTTGGTGCCATGCTTGCTTCTGTGAATCTCGACCTGTATCATGCAGATCAAGGACACTAGCATGAGGACACCGTACAGGGACAACAAGAACACCACATATCTGGTATCCCACTGTATTGGATGTAAATGACAGAGTCTATTGTTGTTGTCCTTCGGCAGCCTGGCGAATATTGCCGCAACACCGACTAGTATTGAAACCAGAGCTAGCACAGCAATATGGTATCGGATCTGGTTCCTCCTAACACTGAACCGGTACCGGTATGGCCACCGCACTGTTAGAGCGCGATCCACTACCATGGATGTCAAGGTACTGATTTGGAACGTTCTTGTAGCTACGAGACCCCACTGGGTGAAGTTGCAGGGTACCTGGAAGGGTGGATTGATGAGGCTGATGATAGCGTAGCAAAATATGAAGATAGATGTTACAAGTTCTTGGGAAGTCACGGCTAGCAAAAACAAATCCACAGTTCTCCATCTCCTGCGATACGTATGGAAAACATACACTGTCCACAGAGCTAGGACAGCTACTAGCGGAGAACTAGAAGAGACTATCAACCAGCTTATGGCTACGGGTTCCATGGCAGTAAAATAATTTACAAACAAAAGTTTAAATTCTAGATAAGTTTTAAGTCTTGGACTAAGATAATAAGAAAAGTTTTAAGTCCTAGACAAATATTGATATTACGAACACTGATAAAAAGTTAATTTTTCAAAATTAATTCGCTTCGATACGGGAAGATCAAAATTACTTATATGTAATTTTTGACTAAATATTTTAAATAATTCTAAACACTAAATTTATTCAAATTTCTACAGCAAAGTAAATAAATATTAACAAATTTACTTTTAAAACTACAGAATATTTATGCTTTTAGAGATAAAACAATATAAATGTGTCAACACAGAATATAATTTAAGATTAATTAACAATAAATTAAACGTTTCTGATTGCAAAACATAAAAATTTAAAAAATTCTAAATATTCTTATAACATAATAAGGAACTATATTAATAAATTAAAGACAATTTAGACTTGAATGTTTTATAATTTGTAAATTAAAATCAATACTTATAATTTTTAAAACTATTAATTAATATATAATTAACACCATTTTTTAATTAATATATAATCGTTAACACCATTATTTAATAATCGTTTCAAATAGAAATTATTACAATCATTTAGTGATGATAAGTACTCTTATCATCACTAAATGATTTAGAAAGTGATTCATAGAGTAGTTTAAGCCATTTTGAAGAATTCCATAACTGAACAGGTTCTTTACAATTTTTTCTAAAGGAAATTTCACCAAATAATTTGATACTAGAATTCATTTCGTATTTCTCTGGTTTCAATACGACAGAGAGCTTTCACCTTTCGTGGTAGCATATCCATGCAAATTTGTAATCCTTGATAATGACTCACAGTATCAGTATCACACAAATAAAATCAGAAATCCAATCACTTATTTCTTCAAAACTGCGAAACAAAAATATGCATTAAGTAAGAAAATTAATTTTTTATATCATTTCGAATATGTTAATTCTCTCAAAAATAAACAACGCTAAATCCAAGAATGGCTGTTTTCTTGAAATTCCACATATCTGTAACTGAAATAATCAACATAGGTGAACTATAATATTTATATCGAGAAAACTTTAATAAAAAAGTTTTCAATCCCATTCGTTGCGAATCACAAACTTTTCAAAAGTCGTAAACATCCCAAGAAATGCCATTGAAGACACAACAAAATGGTTAATCCCGTCTTTCAGACTTCGATGCCAACAAAAATAATAAAAATTTTCAACTTAAACTAACTTCGAACACGCTATCATACATTATTTTGCTTGTTACATTTCATCCGTATCTCGGGCACAAAACTTGTACGATTACCTAACGTCACTCACTGTTACCGAATCGTCTGCGAATGAATTTCATTCGGGGTTACTCTCTTTTTCGCCAAAAAAAATTTTTTCTCTGTCGCCAAAGTGAGTAAGATCTCGCCAAGTTACCTAGAATATCTTCTTAACGGACATTAATGTAGAACAATTCGGAAACAAATCTAAAGAATCTGAGAACCTGAATTCTTCGAGTAGAAATTGATGAGAAGCGGTGTAATTAAATTCGCTATTAAGGGGAATTGCAGGAAAAAAAAAACGTTAAGGTGAATTTTACGTGGAAAGAACTCTATTAATCCGCCGGAAAATGTATTCGCCATTTAGTGTCTCAAAAGTGTTTATTAATGATGCTGAAATGAAACCTGAACGCCTTTGCTTCGTTTAATAGATGGATGGGATAATTACACTTAATCAAACGAAAGAGTTTATATTCTGCACTTTATTTGCGTTTGAACCCCTTCCGCATATACGTAAAGCGGAGAAAAGAACATTTACAGATGAGAAACAACAAAATATTTAAAACGCTTTGTTGATGCTACAAAGAAACACTGTTTAACATTAATTATTACTTAAAATATACCTCTCATTACAACCAAATTTTTTACTTTTTTTTGAGCGATTGCACATTAAATCTTTACTGTTGTCGAAACAAGTACTGGGTTATTTAAATAATTTTGTACCCAGTACTTAATTATATTTAAATAATTTATCATAGCTTATTAGTTACATTATTTAATAAGAAAACGAAATAAAAGTCGTTCTAAAACGAAAATAAATGTAGAAGTGTTGTCACAAATCATACATTTTAAACAATTTGTTGGAAATCGTTTGCATTTTCTTTAATGATATATTTTGTCACATTTTGCGCTTTGCTGACGAGCCAGTATGTTAGTAACAAGAAAAAATGGCACAAGACATTACACAAGAAAGCCAGATCTGATTTAAAAACTGCATTAAAATGAGAACCACTTTTTTTTAAACTACTTTTTCGTTCACGTTTTATATAATAGGGAATTCCTTGGTATGATTAACATACTAAGTCAGAGTTCCTCAAATGATTGTTGCAAATACCACTAACCATTATATTACTTAACCATTATATCTAAAGAATCTGAGAACCTGAATTCTTCGAGTAGAAATTTGATGAGAAGCGGTGTAATTAAATTCGCTATTAAGGGGAATTGCAGGAAAAAAGAAACGTTAAGGTGAATTTTACGTGGAACAATTTTTTGGTGGTGGTACAATTTTTATTCAAAAGATTTAAATGAATATTCAGAACGAATGCAAAATAGCATTTCTTTTGGTACGTATGCTGAAACATGATAATATATTTTTTAAACTTATTTTATGTGGTACAAAACTTAAAAATTTTGAGAACTTCTGGAGTAAGCATAAGCACAGGACGGTAATTTAACTAAGGGAAGGGATATTCTTGTGGAGGACTCTTTAAAGGAAACTATCACGATGTGACTTCAAAATGAGAATCATTTCAGTTCAACTTCTTCCGGAAACGACATTTTGCTTCGAAACACTTAATGCGTTGTGTTACTTTTCAAATTCTTGCAACCAAATATTATCTCCCTATATTATATTTGAGGAAATTAAATAATGAAAAATCTGCATGAATGTATGTATGTTTCTTGTATTGTACCGTCAAATTTTGAATGATGTAGTCCTCCATCCTAACATGGGCACTTGGAAGCCCGAATTTCGAATTTGTTTCATTATCTATGTCATATTCTGTAAAACAACAACGAATGTTTGATTAATAAACTAAACGTTTTCAAAGCAAGCAGTGGTAACACTGTACAAAATCAAACATTTTTGTACATCACCAGCGCGCAAGACTCTATAGAAAATTCTATATACTGTTTTTAAAGTTTGTGATTTTGCTGTTAAATCGAATTTTATGTGGTGTAAGCTCCGAGAAAGTGATATTTTTTATAAAAAGTAAACACACAAAATGTTGATAGTAAAAAGACAAAAAAAATTTTTTGTAAAACCATCTTAATATTTGGATTAGGAACGAGGAAGACGGGCACCACACCTTTACCATTGTAAAAAAACCTTCTTCGAAAGAAAATTGTACATTGATACAATGAATTGCGAAAAGACTGAAAAATAAATAAATAAATGCGCCAACACTTAGCGCTGGCGCACCAGCTGCCGACCGAGCGGTAAAAGCCGCTGAACTCTGGTAGTTCGGTCCGGGGTCCGATTCCCTGCGAACTACCTGGCTGCATGGGCGTTTTCGGGGATTTTTCCCGTATGTAACGTGGATACGAGAAAGTTTCGCTTAAAAAAACTTCTAGAGCATACCTCCTTTTCCGTATAGTCCCTGAACCCTTTAATGCCGCATTGGGAATTTTAAACGCATACTGTTATGCTGCTTTTAAATTTTTTGTAATTTTTCTGTTGAATTGTATATGGCGTAAGTGCGAAGAAAGTGATGCTTAAAGTTAAAAAGACAAAAAAAAGGGGGGAGAATGAGTTAGTAGAAGTGAGTGTAACAGAAGACTTTTAGACTGCGAGCTCAGCAAGAGGGAAAAAAAACCTTAACAAAGCCTGTTTGGGCGATTGTTAAAATATGAAACCTTTCAGATTTTCCCCCCGCAATAATAACTATTTTAGGCGGCTCGCTGGGCAAATAGATAGTCACATTAAATAATGAAAATAAAAAAAAAAAAAAAAAAAAACTTATATTGAAATATGTTTAGCGAGTGCAAACAAACTAGAAAAAAAATCATATGCACAAGTTAGCGTTCTTAATTAATTTAAGTTTTGGAATTTGCTGTATAATCATCGCAGTAAAACGTAATTTTAATTACATGAATGATAATGAAGCATTTTTAAACCGAGACCTATTTTTACCTACCTACTTCATAAACTCAACTTCATTTTCGCTCTAAGAATAATTACTTTGCATGGGAACACATTTATACGTGAACAGCTTAATTAATTAATTTATTTATTTTCCACATTGAAAATTTGTAAGAAAAAATCTATGAACATATAAAAACAGCGATGAAGATAATTTCTAGTGATTTTTCATCAAAGCTACGAACTTTACCAGAATCGAAACGTCATCAAGTATCAATAACCGTCTATTAGTCACTTCTAGACTAGTAGTCCGTCGATAACCTATATCGATTATTATATTTATCGTTTATAGCGCAGTAACCTATCCTCACTTTTGCGATGATGTATTCTAATTTGTAGATGTTTATGGCAATCCAAAATACCTTATTATCGAATGTGTGCTTTTAGGACGATAATGTATAACGCTATAATTTAGCCTTATTTTTACGTGAAAGCACTTTTGCGTTATATAACTCATTATTACAATGCTTACACTGCTCAAAAATATATTGTCGAATGTTTGCTTTTGCACAATAATGCATATCGTTTATAAAGCTCATCCTCAATTTTGCATCACTTTTTCAAGTACCACTTTTTACTTATCCTATAACTTATTTTTATAACGCTTATAACGCTTTTTATAACGCTAAAAATATCGTATTTTCGAATATCTGCTTTCCGTGCGATAATATGTACGTTCGTTGATGATAACGTTTATAACTGATAACCTAATATGCGTGAAATCACTTTTGCGGTGTACTACTTTTCAAATAATGCATGGAAATTTATAACGCTCAAAAATATTGCGTTGCAGAATTGTTCCTTTTCGAAAGATAATGTATATTGCTTATCCCCACACTTTTTTTAAGTAACGCAGATAAGATTTGTAACTTAGCTTCACTTTTCAAATAACACTTTTAATACATGGACGCTTAAAATGCTGAAAAAATATGTTGTGAAATGTTTGTTTTTCGGAGGATAACTTATATCACTTATACTCTTAGGCAGTGTATAACTTATTCTTATAACGTGCGAACGCTTATTATGCTAAAATCTATCATCTCGTCGAATGTTTGCTTTTCGATAATAAAGTATGTC